CTACTGTGCACCCCAGCCTCACGGAAAGACACATGGAGGACCACGGTACAAGCTATACCTTCAGACTGGTTGGTCTTGGGGAGCCAAACTGCTGTGAAATGACCAGGAGTGGAGGCTCTAAGTGGCCAGTGGCTGCAGACACTGAGACCTGTGAGAGTCCAGAGGAAGATGAGGACCCAGTGTTCTGGGAGGGTCCCTGGGAAGAGCGACTGTGTGCAAAGATAGCCTCAAGGAACAAGGAGCATGGTGGAGGGACAGAGTGTCCCAGGGACCTTCCCACTTGAGTAAAGGGTCAGCAGCGAGAACCACTGTTGAAAGGTTTGCTGGCTGACCGGGAATGTGGGCGAGAGCAGCTGGCAGGGCAGAAGGGAATGGTTTGGGATCCTAGGCCTGGGCCCTGGGAGCCACGTCCTCCCTTCTTGCCAGACAGGTGATGTGGGTGGAAGGGTGGCTGTCCTTGCTTCCCCTGCCCCCAGCCGTCTGCAGCCCGGCTCCTGGGGAAACCCCCCGGGGCCCTTCAGAAGGTAGTGGGCAGAGCAGGAAGCTTCACAGCGCTGATGGCAGGCTTTTTCCACTGTGCGTAGCTGAGTGGAGAAAGGGAAGTGGACGGAGGGCCAGACTCCTCCCTGGGCAGGGCACTTTCCCCATGGGCGCCCACGTGCACTCCTTCTTTCTCTCTCCACCAGCACTTCTGCGAGCTGAGCGTTCTCACTACCCCCATTTCACAAGAGAGGAAACTGAGGCTAGGAGAGCCGCGGCGACTTGCCCAAAGCCGCGCAGCTGGCAAGAGGGCAGAACCAACACTCAAACCCAGGTCCCCCGCCCCCAAAGCCAGGGTTTGGTCATAGTGCCCCGTGGAGTCCTCTGTCCTTACTTAGGTTAAAATGGTGCCAGGCCTGAAATAAACACCTGGAGTGGCCCTGAAGGGGAGGAAAGGTCAAGGGGAGACCTGAGGGGTGTGCGTGACTTGCTTCGCGGGTGGGGCAGGTGTGGGGCTGCTGGGTGGATCTGATCATCGCAGGGCCCAGTCCTGGGGGTGAAGCAGGGGCGGAGTGCAGTTCTCAGAGCAGTTATTTGTGCTGGAAGGTGGGTGTGGGGCCCTCCTCCCTGGAGGTCAAGATTCCATTTTCTCTGGGGGGTCACAGGGGTCCTTTGTGAGTGGTGACCTCCCTGCTAGGGTGGGGTTGGGAGGTGGGCACAGCGTTTCTCACCAGCCCAGATGTCTGATGGCAGTGCCTGTGGATGAAGATTGTCCTACCCATGAGTAATTCCATCCAGGACACTGTAGTGAGCACTCTACCCAGCCCCAGCAGGTGACGCTGACATGACCCACAGCCTTTGATTTGCAGCAGCTGTTATTGGCTCCAGCCTGGGGTGCAGAGGGTAATACTCTGTGTGTGTGTGTGGTGTGTGTGTCGTGTGTGTGCTACATGTGGTGTGTGGTCTGTGTGTGGTGTGTGTGGTTGTGTGTAGTGTGTATGTATGGTTGTGTGCTGTGTGATGTGTGTGGGGTGTGTGTGTGTGTGGTGTCTATGGTGTGTAGTGTGTGGTGTGGGTGTGGTGTGTGGTATGTAGTGTGTGATGTGTGTGATGTGTGTAGTGTGTGTGGTATGTGTGGTGTGAGTGGTGGGTGTGTGTAGTGTGTGTATGCGCGTGGTGTGTGGTAGGTGTGTATGTGTGCATGGTGGGTATATGTGGTGTGTGTGTGTTTTGTGTGTGCATTGTGTGTGGTGGGTGGGTGTGGTGTGTTTGGTGTGTGTGCACATATGTGTGTGGTGTGTGGTGGTTTGGTGTGTGTGTGGTATTTGTGTGGTGTGTGTGTGGTATGTTTGTGGTGTGTGTGGTGTGTATGTGTGTGGTGTGTGTGTGATGTGTGTGGTGTCTGTGTAGTGTGTGTGGTATGTGTGGTGTGAGTGGTGGGTGTGTGTAGTGTGTGTGTGCGTGGTGTGTGGTAGGTGTGTAGTGTGTTTTGTGTGTGCATTGTGTGTGGTGGGTGTGTGTGTGGTGTGTTTGGTGTGTGTGCACATATGTGTGCGGTGTGTGTGTGTGGTGGTTTGTATGGTGTGTGGTATGTGTGTGGTGTATATGTGTGTGGTGTGTATGTGTGGTGTGTGTGTGGTGTATGTGTGTGGTGTGTGGGGTGTGTGTGTGTGGTGTGTGGTTTGTGTGGTATGTGGTTTGTGTGGTGTGTGTAGTGTGTGTAGTGTGTGGTGAGGTGTATGTGGTGTGTGTGGTGTGTGTGTGGTGCGTGTGGTGTGTGTGTGCGTGTTTGTAGTGTGTGGTGTGGTGTATGTGGTGTGTGTGGTGTGTGTGTGGTGCGTGTGGTGTGTGTGTGTGTTTGTAGTGTGTGTGGTGTGTGGTTGTGTGTGTGTTGTGTGTGGTGTGTGTGGTCTGTGTAGTGTGTGTGGTGTGTGTGTGGTATGTGTGGTGCGTGTGTGGTGTGTGGTTGTGTGTGTGTAGTGTGTGGTGTGTGTGTGGTGTGTGTGTGTGGTGTGTGTGTGTGTGGTGTGTGGTGTGTGTGTGGGGTGTGTGTGTGGTGTGTGGTATGTGTGGTGCATGTGTGTGTGGTGTGTGTGTGGTGTGTGTGTGGTGTGTGTGTGTGTGGTGTGTGTGTGGTGTGTGTGTGGTGTGTGTGTGGTGTGTGGTCTGTGTGTATGTGTGTGGTGTGTGTGGTGTGTGTGTGGTGTGTGGTGTGTGTAGTGTGTGTGGTGTGTGTGTGGTGTGTGTGTGGTGTGTGTGTGGTGTGTGTGGTGTGTATAGTGTGTGTGTGTGGTGTGTGTGGTGTGTATGGTGTGTGTGTGTGGTGTGTGTGGTGTGTGTATGGTGTGTGGTGTGTGTGTGTAGTGTGTGTGGTGTGTGTGGTGTGTGTGTGCGGTGTGTGTGGTGTGTGTGTGTGTATGGTGTGTGGTGTGTGTAGTGTGTGTGTTGTGTGTGTGGTGTGTGTGTGGTGTGTGTGGTGTGCGTGTGTGTATGGTGTGTGGTGTGTGTGTGTATGGTGTGTGGTGTGTGTGGTGTGTGTGTAGTGTGTGTGCGGTGTGTGTGTGGTGTGTGTGTGTAGTATGTGTGTGGTGTGTGTGGTGTGTATGCGGTGTGTCGTGTGTGGTGTGTGTGGTGTGTGTGTGTGCGGTGTGTGTATGGTGTGTGGGGTGTGTGGTATGCGTGTGTGTCGTGTGTGTGTGGTGTGTGTGGTGTGTGTGTGTCGTGTGTGGTGTATGGTGTGTGGGTGTGTGGTGTGTGTGTGTGCGGTGTGTGTATGGTGTGTGGTGTGTGTGTGGTGTGTGTGTCGTGTGTGGTGTATGGTGTGTGGGTGTGTGGTGTGTGTAGTGTGTGTATGTGTGTGTTGGTGGAGAGGGGTCAGCAGGCAGAGGAAAGCAGTTCATCCAATGCCTGGAAGCTTCTGCCCCTTGGAGGTGGGTTGTGGACACAGCCTGGGCCTGGTAGGCAGTGGCTGAGTGCCAGCCTTGTGCCCTGGGACTGAGATCTGGGACTTTACCCAGTGGGGCGGAGAAGTTAAGAAGTGCTAGTTAGGCCCATTTCCCGCTCCTCCATGGCCTCCATCCCGGTGCCACTGCCACATGGGAGGCCTGGGGAGGGTGGGAGTGTCTGTGTCTAACAATTGCCCGTCTTCATTGAGGACTTGCTGTGGGCCGGGCACTTCCCCATGGCTTCATGGAGATTACATCTTTTATTCTCACAATGTCTCTATAAGATAGGACACCTTATTTTCCCAACTACACATGGGAAGACTGAGGCACGTAGAGGGTAAGTGACTGACCTGCCCACAGGCACACAGCCAGGCAGTGATGGATCTGGGATTCAAATCCAGGGAGCGACCTCAGCAGTTAAGCACTAACCCATTAGGCCTTCTGGCTTGAGCAGTGAGCTGGCTCTTTCTAAAGCACTGTCTGTCCATTATTTTGTTTCTCCTGAGGCCAGCTCCAGGGGAAAAGTGAGGCTGGCTGCTTTCATTTTACAGATGAGGACCCCAGAGCTCAGAGAGGAAAAGTAACTCACTTTAATTAGTGGCTAGCAGATCAGTGCCCCCTCCCTACCCCGGCCAGGCTGGGAGCTCTTTCAGGATGGGGGCCTGTCCCACCAGCCATGTACCTTGCTCACAGCAGACCTCACTAAATGCGGTTTCCTCGTGCAAATGTGCAGGTGTTTTGCTGAGTGCTCTGGGGAGGTGGGAATGATGGCTCCATTTCACAGATGGGGAAACTGAGACTCAGAGCACAAGGCCACACAGCAGGAAGGGGTAAGGCAGGACTGAGGGAGGCAGCACATCTGGCCTGGGAGAGGGGTTAACCAGCCAGGAGGAGCTCGTAGAAGGGCTGAAATAAAGACCGACCTTACCGAGTGTTGGCGAGGATGTGGAGGAACTGGAACACTCCTGCATTGCCAGGGACACGCAGTGGCATGGCTGCTCTGGGAAACAGTTTGATGCTTTCTCTGAAAGTCCAACAGGGATGTACCACACTGCTCAGCAATCCCACTCCTGGTATTTACCATAGAGAAATGAAAACTTACGGTCCCACAGAAACGCAGGTTTTTAGCAGCTCTATTCATAATCGTCAACAACTGGAAACAAGCCACATGGCCTTCAGTGACCAAATGGATAAACAAGCTGCTACATGGACCCCAGGGAATACTGCACTCCAATAAAAAGGAGTGGACTCCTGATACACACAGTGACTTGAAGGAATCTCAAAGGCATTCTGCTCAATGCCAGGCCCCAGCCTCAAAAGGTTCTATGCTTTATCATTCCACTTACCTAGCATATTTGAAAACACAAAAGCTATAGTGTCAGAGACTAGATCAGTGGTTGCCAGGATGGAGGAGTGAGGGGAGGGTGTGGCCAGGACAGTGCCAGGGAGTTTTTGGGGTGATGGAACTGCCCGTTATCTTGATCTGGAGCTGGTGGCTCCAAAAATCTATGTGTGTGCTAAAATTCAAATAACTGCACAACTAAAGCCTGTCTATTTTGCTGTATGTATTAAAAGATAAAAGGCCACGGGGAGGCTGGAAGAGGAAGGGCATGAGCCAGGTAACATCCTTGGCTGAGGAACAGGTGAGGGACCCGGTTCTCACCAGCGGCTTAGTGACTTTCAGGGCAGCCTCGCCTGGCCGCGGGAGGGATGTGGCTAATTGTAGCTTCTATCTGGGTTCACCAGAAGGTGGTGGCTAGCAGCTGAGGTGTTGGGACAGCATCCTGGGCCCTCCAGGAGCCGGGTGATGAAAGGTTAGGCTCTGGCTTCCCTGGCAGGGTGGGGTTGGCCTCCTGTCCTGATGGCTGGCACACACTGAAGCATTAACCCAGAGTCTCTGTGTGCCAGGCGTGGGACTGGCGTCACACTTACCACCCGCCGCTGTCTCCTATCACCATGGGGCCTGTGTGTGGGGAGGGGAAAGGCGTATCAACTCCCTTTTGTGGATGAGGAACTAAAGCCAGGGGGCGTAGGAGGGTAGTTTGGCCTAGAAATGACATCACACTCACTAAAGACCGCCAATATCAACTTTTGCAGTTTTTTTCCCCAATGCGACATGGTACACTGCCTCCCTAGTTGATCCGGTCTACAGCCACATACCCCACAGTTTGATACTGTGTTCTGATGTTTGTTCGGGTGCTTTATTTTAAGACACCAGGAGGCTTGAAAATGGGAGGTGACCTGGGGACATCCCTGCACTCTGCCTCTGGCAGCCCTGGCTGGGGCTGGAGGGTGAGATTTGCCTGGGGCCACAGGACACTGAGACAGCAGGGTCCCCTGGTGGAGAGCCCAGTGGCCTCTGAGCCTGTCTGTAGATGGGGATGGCTTTTCTGCCTTTACCGGACGGTGGGTACAAGTGAGAATGAGATGCTGGAAGCAGCCCGAGGTGGGGAGTGGCACACTGTTATTCACCCTGGTTGGCATTGAAACCCCAGGAGCTTGGTTTCCTCATTCGCAGTGTGTCCGTCAGTAGCACCCATCTTGCAGGGCAGCTGTGATTAAAGAAGCCAGGGCCACCCCGGAGCCAGGCTCTGAGGCTTCACCTTACCCCGTTTACACTTCTGTCTCCTCTGCTTAGATTTGACTGACTGAGGACGCGACGGGCACTCAGCTTCTCTGCATCTCTGTCGCCCAGCGGAGGGGCTGGCACATAGTAGGTGCTCCTAGCCTGACTCAAGATGTTGCTGGGGCTGGGGAGTGGGGGGCTGGGGAGGACCATGGGCAGACCTGGGGTGCCAGGAGGCTGGTGTGGGGCTGATGGCCGGGAGGGCAAGGCCTGAGCAGGGAACCTAGACCACCTCAGCGTCCCTGCCAACACCCCTGGCAGCCTTCTCTGGCTCTCCTGGGTATGAGGGCACCCCATGCCCTTCTTCAGTCCTGGCAGGTTTGAAGGGGGGTGGCAGGGAGACGGCAGAGGGGCTCACTGGCCTACAGGATTGGACAGAAGTTTGGTGGGGACGCAGACCCCAGACCCCAGAAGCCCTTGCCCAGGCTTGGACAGACCCTGCTGTCTTCTAAGCCCTGTTTGCCCCCATGAATCCAGGCTCCTTTCCTCCCCATCCCCCCAGGAAGCTTGGATGTGGCCGCCATCCAGGCCCAAATGCCGTCTCCTGGGCCCTACGCCTCCAGGGCTGGCTCTGAGGCACCATGCAGCCTGTCAGATGGCGTGGGCTGTGTCCACCTGAGCAGACCCGCTCCCAGAGCCTCAGGGGCCTGGAGAGCGTCGCCTCAGCCGTTTGACAAGGAAGCGGGTTGTGCTCCCCTTGCTGCCCTGGGCTCGTGGGGAGGCCTCAGCAGGCCTGGCGTGGGGTGTGGCCTTCCCCTACGTCAGGCCCCTTCCCCTAGAGTCTGGGAGCTGGGGAGGAACTGCGGCAAGACGCCGGTGTCTCCCCTCAGCCCTTCTGCAGAGGCCGGGCTGGAGGAGAAGATGGCGGCCAAGCAGCCCCCGCCTCTGATGAAGAAGCACAGCCAGACGGACCTCGTGAGCCGCCTGAAGACCCGCAAGATCCTCGGCGTGGGCGGGGAGGACGACGACGGGGAGGTGCATCGCTCCAAGGTGGGGTGCAGAGCAGGGGCCTCCGGCACCAACTGGGGAGGCCAGGCTGACCCACCATAGGGGACAAGGTTAGCCGAGGCCCAGGGAGCCACAGGAGTTCTGGGACTTAGCTCATGTTCCTAGAAATCTAACGGCAATGCCAGGGGAATAACGAGATGGTTAGAATTAAGTGCCTATTACATGCCTGGTTTTCCAGCAATTGCTTTATAAGCATTTTTAAAATCTTCTTGTTGGCACTAGAAGATGTAGATACTGTAAAATTATTAACCCATTTTATAGATGAGGAAAGGAAGGCTCAGAGAGTTTAGGCAACCTGCCCACGGCCACATTGGTAAGTGGCAGTACCAGGCTTCAAGTCTGCGTTTGGCAGAGCCCTGAGCTTTCATATGTCACCATCATATTTTCAGCTTCTTTTAAACCCTAGTGTCAAGGGGAAGCAGGAGAGGAGGTGGCCTCATGTGACCCTCACCACCTGGGGGACCCTTTGGCCAAGCCGAGGTGCCCAGGTGGGTCCCTGGGTGTGCAGAACTTGGGAGGATGAGTGAGTGGGGGCGCTGAGAACTGCCCTCACCCTGGTTGCCTCTGACCCCCTCTGTCCACAGATCAGCCAGGTCTTGGGCAATGAAATCAAGTTTACTGTTCGGGAGCCTTTGGGGCTCAGGTGAGCATTTACCTGACTTTTTGGGGGAGGGGAGGGGTTGATGGGAGCAGAATGCACAAGACCCCACCTCATTTGGCCTGGTCCCTGGATTTTGTCTCATTACCTCCCCCAAACCTGCCATCCCTGGGGATCTGGGCTGGAGAGGGAGGGTCCCCGGGGGCAGGGCTGTGACCTTCTCTCCACGCCTCCCAGGGTCTGGCAGTTCGTCTCTGCTGTGCTCTTCTCTGGCATTGCCATCATGGTGAGCCCCCACCCCTGGCCCCTGAGATCTGGCCCCGTGTGGCTGCCCCAGCCCTTCTCACGCTCCCTGGGGGTACCTCCTCCATCCTGGCCCCTCATGCAGGGCCCATCTGTCAGGCTCTCGGACTGCCGGTTCTCGGGCTGCCTCCGAGAGCCTGACTCCTGCACTGCCACACCTGTGCCCTGTCCAGGAGCACACTAGATGCCATGTGTGGCCTGACTCCTTGTCCCAGGAACCCTGGAGTTTTCTGTCCTGGCATGGGGGTGGGTGGGGACAATCAGGTCCAGACCCTGGACTGCCCTCAAGGATGCTGATCCTGCTCCTGGGGGGAAGGAAGGCATCCGTGGGAGGCATCAGCTGTCACCCCCCACCGTCTCCCAAGCGGGACCTCTAAACCCCTCTCGCTGCCCGCAGGCACTTGCCTTCCCTGACCAGCTCTATGATGCGGTCTTTGATGGAGCCCAGGTGACCAGCAAGACCCCCATCCGCCTCTATGGCGGTGCCCTCCTCAGTGAGTACTGCTGGGGCGGGGCCTGGGGGAGGCGACGGGCAGCTGGGAGACCCAGCGGGGCTGAGGAGAGCACGGGGGTCCGTGCCTGGGCACCCCTTCCTTTCTTCGGGCAGATGCTGCAGCCCACGCCCCGGCCTCTGATGAATCTCTCTGCTGGGGATGTGCTGCCATCTTGTGGCCATTGGTGGAATATACCCAGTGGGTTGGAACTTGCCGTTGCCACCTTCTGCGGGGAGCGCTCCTAAGTGTGTGCACTGCCCTGGGCGTTGTGGTGCAGAGATGGAGGCGGCCCAGGCCCAGCCCTCTAGGACTTCACAGCCTAGAGGAGAGGCAGATCAATTCAGTGTCTGCAAAACCCCTCGCACCCAGCCTGTTTTGTCCCCAGAGCCACTTGTGTTTCCTCTCTAACCTGAGATACACACGTTCGGATTTGGAACTAGTTTTTAAAGCTCAGCATAGGTAATATGCCTCCCTTTCTACAAAATACTCCATGGCTCCCTATTGCCTACAGAATAAAGGCTCAGCTCCTCTGGAGTTAGGGTTGTTGGAACAAAATAAATACACACCCAGTGGCATATCTGGTACCAGCAGACACTGGGTGGGCGGGGCCTGCTAGAGGCCAAGTCAGTGGTTCATCCCCCTCCCCCTGGGGAGTTCCTTAGAGTGAGTTCTCAATGGGCTCAGGTTTTCTGTCTGGGAGTCCATGTGAAAGAAAATCCGATTATAGGACCAGGTAACCCATTAACTCAGGGATTCCATCAACACAGCATCCACCTGAGAGAACCGGACGTGGGCAGGGGCCAGGAGCTCAGCCCTCCCCCTTTATAAAGAGATCGAGTCTCAGCATGGGGAAGTGACTCGCCCAGTGTCGCATAGGGCCTTAGAATGACAGGAACAGACTGAAGCAGCAGCATTGAGTCTGGAGGGGACAGGATCAGGGACAGACAGCCTTGATTTGAGGAGTGTGAATGGGGCGGAGGCGTGGAGTCCAGGACCCCGGCTGTCTTGCAGCGGTGGCCGGAGGAAGGAGGAGCCTCCTGCCCTGCTGGGAGGGAGCCAGCGGTCCCACCCCCAGCCCCCTCTTCGTCCCCTGCCCCAGGCATCTCCCTGATCATGTGGAACGCTCTCTACACGGCTGAGAAGGTCATCATTCGATGGACCCTGCTCACTGAAGCCTGCTACTTCGGGGTCCAGTTCTTGGGTGAGTCCTGGGGTGGGCAGTGAGGGAGGCTGATGGGCAGCTTCGCCCCTGACCTGCCTGCTATAGCCACTTGGGTGTGTGGGAAGTGATGAAAGCCTGTCTGTGGGGGGCTAGTGAGGGGAGAGAGGGATAAGGACTCACCTGGCTGTGTTTACCTGTGTGCCTGCACACCTGTGCACACATGCCTAACACACATGCCTGTAGCTTCCCACATCCACACACTTCTATCTATGGCCTTGCACACACATGCGTCTGCAGCCCCCGCGCCCGCTGCCCACTGGACCCAGCACCTGTGTAATAATGGGCGCTCAGTTTTGCCCACCTGCTGTGCCCCGGTTCCTGTCACATGGGAGACATCGGAGCAGAAACATCTGTGGGGTTGGCAGGGGCAGGGGGCAGGTCCTGTGCTTCCCACCTGGGAGGATCCTGGGCTCAGAGTGAAGTTAGGGAGATGGCCACACCAGCGCTCCGGGCTGGGGGGCGGCCCCAGGACACATCCCCTCCTCTGACCCTGTGGCCTTGCCGGCCTCTCTCCCACAGTGGTCACTGCCACGCTAGCTGAGACGGGCCTCATGTCCCTGGGGATCCTGCTGCTCCTGGTCAGCCGCCTCCTTTTTGTCGCCATCAGCATTTACTACTATTACCAAGTCGGCCGAAGACCCAAGAAGGCCTAGCTGCCCGCTGGGCCTGGGGCCCTGCCCATGCCCAGGGCAGAGTGGCGCTGGGGCCTCGGCTTCCCTCTGGCTCCTGGAAGACAGGAGGGTCCCCTGCCCTGCCCCAGCCCTGCCCCAGGGAGGCAGGGGGTGGGGGGCCTTCCTTTCCTCCTGGGCACTCCGTGTGCTGTGACCTCCTGGGCTTTCAGGCTTGACATGCTGGTGTGGGGAGAGACAGGGCCTCTGCTGCCCGATTCCTCACCCTCACAGTGATACCTCCTTTCCTTGGGTCTCTCGGCCTCCAGACCCCTCAACAGACACTGACGAAAGTCAAGCTGGAGTCATGAGGGTAGTGGGCTAAGTCGAGGGTCCAGCCTCTTCTGCCAGGAAGCCCTTCTTGCTTTTGAGAGATGCTGTGACCACCCCCATCCTTCTCCCCACACCCCCAGCCAACCTAGTGCCCAACCAGCTAAACTTGGCTTCCCTCTAATCCTGGAAAACCCTGTACCCCTCCTCCCCAATCTGGCCCTCTCCACACGCACACCCTGAACGCACATACAGACACAACACACACACACACCCCCCCATGATGTGAGCAAGCACATACACATAACATACGCACAGTCTCTCTCACACACACACGTGCACCTTCACAGCCCAGCCGAGGGCACGCAGGCAGGGTGTGCGGTCTGAGATGGCACCTCCCTTTCAGCCGTTCTTCAAGGATGGGCCACACACAGCTAGACGCCCTGTCCCCACTCTCCTGGCCTGGCGCGATGAGCTCTCCTGGGACCTTGCTCTAGGGCACTCTGTCTCTACCCCAGGACCCCGGAGTCCCCTGGGAGCCCCCTCCCTGCAACCAGCCCGAGTTCAGAGGCAGCCAGCAGCTGCACCCACAGGCCGCACGGACAAAGGGACACACAGCCCCCAGTGGAGACCATTGTAAGAGGTGGGGCTGGGAGAGGAGGAACAGAAGGAAAGCCATAGCGCTCCCTCGCCCTGGAATGTCCCCCAAGGCCTGATGGCCACTGGGCTCAGCCTGTCCCCCACTCCTCCCTGTTTCCTGGTGAGCTGTCCTCAACACCTGCAACCCTGGCTGCCTCCAGGGCCTGGCTGAGTGGGACTGGGTGGCCCTCAAACTCAGCACAGGAAGTAAGTAGAAACATTTCAGCAAGCCGCCTCCCTTTATCTCCCCCACCCTGGCACCCTGGCAAAGGCTGACAACTGGCTGTCTTGGGGCTGAAGAGCCCCCCCCCCGCCTCTCCCTGAGGGCCCACCAGCCTGTGCTGTACACCCCCCATTAGTCCCTGATCCCAACCCTCCCTCCTGCCAGCACACCGGCACACATGGGAAGGGGCAAGCCCCAGCCCTGGGGACAGGCGTAGGGAGAGAAGCAGCCCCAGGCCCCAGACTGGCTTCCCATCCTGGCATAGAGCCGGGAATGGCTGGAGGGTGTCTATATGTACAGCCAGCTCTGGCTGCTGCCAGGTGGGCCCCTGCCGGGGGTCCTCACCCCTGTCCACTCTTGTGCCTGGCTGTCCCTGCACCCAGATACAGCACCACGGCCTGTACCCAGCAGAGCAGTGGCACCACCGTGGTTCCAGTGGATGCCCCAAGGCTCTGCTTGGTAAACGTGGCTGAGCAGAATGGGAGGCTGGACCCTGAGGAAGGGCCCCTCTCCTGGCATCTGTCTCTCGCTACCTAAGCCTGTGCCTCTCCCTAAAGAGCTCCTCCCTGCTGCCAAGCCCTGGTCTGGCCACGAGCCACTACTGCCTCACACCGGTGGTGCCGCCAGCAGGCAGTGCCCTCGGGCCGAAGCCTCAGTCCCCCATCTGAGCCAGGCCTAGTCCTCTAATAGGGATGGTGGCTTTGTCCTCCCATCACTGCAGGTGCATTCCACCTGGGGAATGAGGCTGTGCGCTGGGCGTCTGCTGGCCCTGAGACATCCAGTCTTCCACACTCAACCGTGGGATGGGAGGGTGGCGTGGCCTTACCCACGGGGCTGGCCAGGCTCTGGTACAGAGCTGTGCTCACGAAATACCGGGTGGCTTGGTTAGACCTAATTGTAGTGGAGCCTGGGGGAGAGGGTGAGGGAGGGGACTGCGGGTCAGATAAGACCTGGAAGACAGACGTACAGCCGGCGGGCAGGGGGACTTTAAGGCAAGGAGGACTTACAGTTGGGAAGGAGGCAGTGGCAGAGGGGCGAGGGACAGGGGGGCCCTTAAGTCCAGCGAGGAAAGCTTCATGTGGGCCCCGCACTGCGCTCCGTTCGGGGTGACCTGGAACACCTCTTTTCCCAGCTCCCTCCAGCCATCAGCAGCCTCTTGTCAAGCTTCCGTCTCACCCCAGTCTATCCCCACCCCCAAATCAAGACCACCTTTTCTTCACGGTCACTATTTATTCTTTGTTCCTTTTTCTTTTTGTAAGAAACAGTCACAAAAACCAGTGCAAAACCATCAGTGTGGGCGTCCTGTTTTATATTACAAAACTTCCTCTGGATATATCATATAAAACGGGGTCTCACAGGAGAGAAACGTGATAAATTAGCTCTGCAATCTACGGCAAGGAACATAGACAGTTTTTAAAATAGACTTTCAACATATGAGAGAGGAAGGGGCTTCTGGGGAGATGGGGGTGCTGGGGCCTCAGCTGGTTTGAGGAATCCTGTCTGGGCCCCTCAAGCACGGATAGAGAGATGGACAAGGGAGGCTGCGGACAGGCCTGAGCACCAAGGCTAGAAATTAACAGAGACCCTGGGGAGGAGCCCTCACCCCCAGCCCATAAAGAGATACCCCTTTTCTCTAAAAGGCAGTAGCTTCAGAGCAGGAAAGTGGCTTTCAATACAGGCAGGGTTTGTGATGAACAGTGTAGTCGTCTTGTTCCTTGCCCTGTTAGCGGGGTCCGAGGAAGTCTCTGTTGTGAGCTGTTGTATTCTGGGGTAAAAAGAAACGAAGAGGTATCCCTGCCCACCCCTACCCCCAGCCACCACCAGAACCTGCTGTGGGTTGTATCTGGACCAAGCCAGCTGAACCCTGTTCCTCCCTGTGCTATGGAGGGAGGCTCAAGCCTGATTTGGGCTGAGCTTTCTTTGCCTTGCCTCCAAGGAATGGCCTCAGGCAGCCTTGCAAATAGCTACCGGCCTGGGCGAATGCCAACAGGAGCAGAAAACCGCCTGTCTTCCCTTTCCAGGCTAAGAGGATGGCCAGCGGCTGGCTGGGGAACTGAATCTGGGCTGATTGAGGGTTCCTTGGCACATTTGTGGAAAGCCATTGAGAAGCAGTCTGTGTCCGCCCTTGAACCCACCTTAGTCAGATTTCCCTTTGTGACCAGACCTTTCTCCTGGGTTCTCCCTCTGACTCGTATGGGCCCTAGAAGCCTGGGATGCCCCTGGATTAGAGCCATAAAGCTGTGCAATTTGCCTCAGTCCTGCCCAGCATGGTTTTTTTGTTTTTCCTTGTCATTCTCAGACCAGACATTTGCCTCTTCCAAAAAGCTGGGGCTAAGCACGTAGGTGGTTCAAGAGGGCCAGGTCCCAGGCCCCAGGCTGGGCTGCGGTACCAGCGGCAGGTCCCTAGGTCTCGGGAGCTTAGCTTCTGTGGAGCTCAGGTGTCATTTATGGGGCTGCCAGAGCAAGCTGTTAAAGTAAGACTGAGCTCAGAGACCTGGTGGGAGGGCCAGGACTGGCAGGCACAGCAGGAGGAGATTGGAGGAGGGTCCACCTGAATCTTTGCAGCAGGCACAGAGCTTCTGGCTGCATCTCAGAAGGGGGCAGGAGCACAGGCCGGGGAACACTGGGCTTTAGGCTGTGACTCCGAGTGTCCCTGGTGACTGGAAAGCCTGAGGGGAGGCTGGAGGCTGATACAGGGTGCTGGTGGCTTGTGAGACAGAATGAGCTCTTCCTGAACAGGGAGAGAGGGGAGAAAAGAGAGCAGACATCACACTGCTCCTTCCATCCCTGCCCATGGCAGACATCACTAATCAAACTCACGGTGCCTGGCAGACATCACTCATCAGGATTGCACCACATCTCTCACTGAGCCCAGACCAAACCTCAGATCCCCAGCACAGCCTCCAGCAGCCACCCCGATCTATCAGGATAGGGGCATCTTGCAATCCAGTTGCCAACACTCATCTAGAGTTTGAGAACTGAATACTTGTGGGTGTGCGTCTGCGAGTCTCCCCGTGCAAGCCTGGAGGGAATACTAAGAAATGGGCGAACAGTGAAGAGACAGGAAACCTTGTTGCAGCAGAAATGGCCTCGATGCCTTCAGGATTCTTTAGTCTGGAGAGAAGAGGGCTCAGGGGAGTCAATGTGTGACCTTAACACTCCAGGAAGAAGAGCAGGCAAGTGGGATGCCGTGGACGGAGCCACAGAAAAACAGAAACCTCTTCTGTATATTAAGCTGATGCTAAAGTCAGAGCAGTCCAAAGGCAGGAGGCTGCCTTGGGAGGTAGTAAGCTCTCTGTCCCTGGAGGTATGCAAGAAGAGGGTGGAGAAGTCTTGGCAAGGATCTTGAAGATACCCAAGCCTCAGTTCTGGGTGCGGAGAGGGAGACCCAGATGATCTTGGGGATTTCTTCCACTCTGGGAGCTGAGGAGTTGGGGAAGGACAGGGAAGGGGGTGGCTTGTGGGGAGAGGTGGGCAGTATGGACAAGGGAATGTGAGGTGCGCCCCTGTGTGTTCCTGGGGACTCAGAGAGAGAGGTGTAGGGAGGTAGGAGGGAGGGCACGGTGGGAAGTCATGGAATGGTGTTTTCTTAGCTGTAGAGCAGGGAGGAGGCGGTTCCTGGCTGGCTTGCCCTCTCTTGTCTGGGGGAACCGGAATGCTGAGGCCAGGGGTGCATGTGGGCAGCAGAGCTGACAGAGTCCTGGATGCAGTGACAGCAGCCTGGAGACAACTCAGATTCCGTCATGCCTGTGCTGTGTGTCTGTGGATGGGCCACTGCCCCTCTCTGGGCCTTTGAGATTATTTGGTCCAACAGATGGGGAATGCAAGGATCCTGCCAGCTGGGCCATTCTTGGATGCCGTTTCAGCAGCTCACTCTTGACCCTGGCCTGAACAGGGGACAGTCCATCCTCCAGTGGACCAGGGATTGCGCTGTGGGTTCCGAGTCCTCAAGGATGTGCCAGCTGAATCTCTGTGGGGCTTTGATGACTTCTCTGAGATTTGCTTTGTCCTCCTCGTTGCCTAAATCCTCACTTTCTTGGCATCAGGTCCTGGTGCAGTGAGGAGAGAGGGCCCAGGGTCTGGCTGGACCAACAGGGGCACTGGGCCTGGTGTTCCTTTGGTCTCTAGAGCAGCCTACATCCTGGGCCAGGCGCTGGGGTCTCTGCAGAGAGCCCACGGCACCTGCCCTGAGTCCAGGCGAGGATACATCAGTCCGTACTTTTGTCTTCATTTTGTTTTGTTAAAAAAATAGCTCTATGCCCCTGGCCCTTCTCCTGGCCATCTTTGATGGCGTCATCTTCTCCCCTGGGGCCAAGAGGACAGCGGGGAGGGGCAGGGGAGGGCATCGGGTGCTGGGCAGTGGTGGGTGGGGCGAGTCTTCGGGCCTCAGGCCACACCCTCTACTGGATGCCCCGGAAGAGGCACATGGCGAAGATCATGGCGAAAAGCTGCAAAAAAGGGAAAAAAGCAGAAACTGGCTTATCCGGCTGGGCCCTTTGTGGGCTGCCTGGTCCACTCCAGGGGAAGGGTCACCTGCCTCCGGGGCAGAGTGAATGCCTGTCCCTCTTAGCACACTCCTCCCGTAGGGATTCCTGACATTCCCCTGGGGCCAGCCCTTCTCACCAGCCCATACCTGGCTTTATTTGGTGGAGTCAGGGATCAGGAAGACTTTAGAAACTGAGTCTTGGGTTCAAATCCAGCTCCCTGACATACCAGGGGGTGTCCTTAGGCAAAGTACTTCCCTGCACTGGGCCTCAGTATGTATCCAGAGCTTGCCATGTGCCAGGCACAGTTTTAAGTGCTTTCTTGGGAGGTATGTAACCTACCTGAGGTCACATAGCCACCAGCAGGGGAGCCAGGGTTTGAGTCCCAGGCATTGTGACCCCAGAGCCCATGCTCACAACCCCTGCAGGCTCCCCTCCAGCTCACAGGAAGGTGGTGAGATATAAGTGTAATGCAACTGCCTAATGACGTAATGTGTCTGTTATCTAGAAGATGCTCAGTAAAGGTTACCAGGACTGCTATGAATAGGCAAGCAGCTGCAGCCCTTCCCGGATTTAGGCGCTCCATCCCTGAACACCTGGCTGAGGGCCTGGGGTGGTGGGGCAGGGAGACCCTAGCTCACGGACTGACCAGATTTGCTGATGTCCCCATGGCCAGAGCTCACTGCAAGTAGCCGAGGGAACAGTCCCCAGACCACAGGTCATGGCCAAATCACCAGGAGGCTCACTGGCATGGGGAGGGGCTGCCAGGACGGGGCCACGTAAAAGTATCCGTCTTGAGCAGGATTCTGCCTCCCATGGGGCTGGCCAGCCAGGCTCATGGGCTGGGCTGGGAGTGAGGCAGCAGATCAAGTATATATTTGCTGCTTCCTGAGTCCCAGCGGCATGCCGTCCCCGTCATCTGTAATCCCTCTGTGCCCTGGGAGCAGGGTGATCAGCCCATTTTGCAGATGAAGAAACTGTGACTCAGACATGCTGCATCTGGAGCGAGGCAGAGCTGGGAGCCGGACTCTAGGGCCCATGCTCTTCCTGCATGGGACACATTCCTGAGAGTTCCCTGGGCTTGCTGCAGATTTATCGTGTTCATTGTTGCTTCCCATGAGGGGACTTGTTCACCTGTAACAGTGCTGGCGCAGAGTAGGGCTCAATGTGTGCTTGTTGAATACATGAATGAATAATAAATGACCCCTCTCTCTCTGCCATCCCCAGTAGCCTCCACGAAACTGCACTCGGTGGGCTGCAGGCACAGTGGGAAACCAGGCAAGGCGAAGTTCATGGTGCCAGGTGCCCAGGCTGCTGGAGGGGGAAGCTGAGGATCCGGCTGCCTGACTTCCTACCCCCGCAGGCCGAGGACTGGCTGAGGCCCCAGAGTGCCCCTTCCTGGGTTTGGTTAGGTGTGGGCAACGCTCAGTTCAGCCAGGCATACATAGATCCCAGAGGACAGAGATGGGAGGCGGCCGCTCCTCCCTTTGGCTGAGGCGCCACCTAGTGGTGGTTGCAAACGGTCTGCAGGAGCTCACCTTTCAAGGGGCCCTTAGATAAAGGAGGCTAAGACCACCGTTATGGGTGAGTAAGGCCCCGTAGGCCCTGAACACCCCACAGAGAAAAGGCCTGATCTCGAACCACGGGCTGCAGCCTGTCTTTCAAAGCAGCTGTGCCGATGCCTCTGCAAGCGTGAAATCTCTCTGGACCATGGAGCTGGGGTGGAGGTGGGGATGGGGATGGGGGAGTGGGAGGGAGTGGGTATGACATTCAGGGCCTGCCCATCCCCACTTCTGGGACATTGGCTCCCATGTTTCACCTCCAGAGTTCAAGAATGACTCTCAGGCAGCAGAGACACAGCCGGGCTTACCACCCCATAGTGTCCACAGTGGGGGCCCCTTGGGTCCCAGGTGAAGGAAATGAAGAGGGAGGGAGGCTGGGGGCATCTGCCTAGGCTCCAAGTGAAGCTTCATCCTGGGGAGCGGAAGAAGTGGAGGCCTTTACTTACCTCGATGGCCAGTACCCCGATGGCAAGGGCTCCGGCCAGGTAGACGTAGGTTTCGAAGGTGTTGAGGATCACTGTGTAACAGCCCTTGGAGGGAGGGATGAGAGGTGAAGTTATGGCCAGGGGTGAGAGTCCTGGAGTCAGAGTCAGCATGTGGACTAGGGTTCATGGCAGGTGTCCCCAGAGCTCTCACCCTATCACATGGCTGCTGAGACAGGACAGTGGGGAGGGGGTGCAGAGCAGGAGACCCAGAAGCAGTGACTTGGCAGCAATGCACCAAAGACCCTCCTTGCCACCCGGCCCCTAAGGTGAGGCAGAGAACTGACAGTGTGCAGGCCATGCCTTATGTTGCTACTACAGTGATTGGAAGATTGGGAAATTTCCCACAAATATCTGAACCTCTGGAGAAATCAGAAGAACCAACAAGGGGAGCTATTCCTTTTCACATCAGCACTGTCAGCAGCTGCTGCCTTCGGATGCAACAGGTGCTCCCTGGGGTCCGCGGGATCCCCCCACCCCATTCCCTATTGTCCCACACCCGCTCCCCTACTGTTCCTTGTGACCTGCCTGGCTGCAGGAGTTCTGATTTTCAACCACTTCCCCAAGGAAACACACTCCAGCGTTCAAATCCCTGCTCGCATGCCACCTCCTTCGGGCAGCTTTCTGAACCAGCCCAGCCCACAGGCTCTGGAGTTAATTCCCATGCTCTTACTGCTTTCTTAAGCAATCCTGGATATATATAAACTGAGACAGCGACAGAGATCGAGATCCAGATAGAGACTGAGATAAATAGAGAGGAATGGGGCGTGGGGAGACAGAGAAAAAGCCAGCCAGTGCCAAGCCAGGAGCTGCCAGTCCATGGCTGCGGCCCCCTCTGACCCTGAGCACCTCACATCTCTGTCATCTTCATGTTCATAACTCTCCCCTCCCCCATGCTGACCACAGAGACTGATGCATGGTACTTGCTTTGAATGACACATATTTTCAAAGTGGGAGAACTTTCCTTCCTTTATAGGAACCTGCATATTCTCTGGGCCCAGGCTGAGAACCTGCAAGGGAACAAGTCCCCAGGTGGGGGGTGGAGAGATCATGCCCAGCCCTTTTTCGGTGACGGTTGCTATTTCTGGGCTCTGTTGAGACCGGGGATTCCTGGGTGTTCACATACTCACTTCTGTTGTCCATCACGCAGAAACCCAGCCCCTTTGGCCAAAAGTGGGACTGAGGCTGTACCCAGGCAGGTGGGCAGCAGGGCCTGATCTGGGACTAGTGGCCAGGTGATGTCCTAGTACCTGCCTAGAGGCTGACCAGGAGCTGGGCCGGGAAGGCCCCCAGAAGCCCTCCCTGGAGCCCCATGGAGCAAACGGGATATACCCAGATAGAAACAGACCCCACCAGCACAACGGTCTGGGTCCATGAGACTCTCGGGACTGAGTGTGCGTGGGAATAATCCGGGAAGTGCTTAGCAATGCAGATACCAAGGCCTCGCCTCACAACACTGGGTCACTGGGTCTGGAGTGGAGCCCAGGAATCAGCATTATAGGACGATGCCCAAGGTAATTTCTAGTGACCAGGCTGTGTGTGGCCAGGCTTTGAAAGACCTCAAGCCCAGAGATGACAACAAGGAGAAAAGATCTTAATTGGACCTTCAGGCCTTGTCTCTGCTGTGGCACTGGGAGCCCAGTAAAGAGCTGTATGACTGGGACGGAGTCCTAAGGGCAACCCAGGGGTCCCTACCCTAGGCCAGGTCAGGACATCATTGTGGCTGGGGGTCCCTTCAGGGCTGGCCCATCCATTCAGTGAGGCCCAGGGTCCATCCCGGATCTGCCAGCATACCCATGCTGGAGCCCCAAATCTTTTGTTAAGCGATTTTGAGGCATTAGAACCCTAAAACACAGAACTATAACTGCAAAAAAACTAACCTGCTCTGCAAGCGAGGAAAGAGAGACGAGTTGCATTGTTTTGGGATCAGCCCTGGCAGGGGACGCCTCGGCCCTCCCATCATCCCCTCAGCGTTCCGCGTGCCCGCCAGCCACAGGCACATCATTCCACATCCTGCAGCCCCAGCACACACCCTGGGTTTGTAAAGTTCTTTGAGGGGTTTCCCAAACAGGGAATAGCAATGGCTCAGGAGAGTGGTAGCTGGCAGTGGTTACACAGGTGAGCCCTGGGGCCTGGCTGCCTGGGGTCCCAGCCAGCGCTGCCACTTGCTTGCTGTGTGACCTTGGGCTATTTACTTCCTCTCTCTATGCCTCAGTTGCCCCATCTATACAATGGGGCCAGGTAGATTACCTCATGGGATTGCTGCGAGGATGAAATGAGATACTGCAGGTAAGGCACTAGGAAGAGTGTTGGCAAGTAGCAAACTCTCAATCTCAATCCCTGTTAGGATTACCAAGGATTACTGTCTGTCTCTCCGTGCCGCGCTCTCAGCATATCCTGAGTGGTGGAAAGTGTCTGAGCATAGAGTTGAGTGTTATTGCAATACAATCTGTCACACACACACACACACACACACACACACACACACACACACACACACCCAGAAGGGGACAGGAGAAGCAGCACATCTTTTCTGGAGCATGAAATTGATTTTGAGATGCCTTACCCGGGGAAACTGGCAAGAAGCTGGGGACCTTGTCCAGCAGAGGGAAGCTGAGCCCCGCTGTGTGGCACCTGGGCCTTGACAGCTCATCTTCCACTATTAGGCTTTGGCACCAAAGACCCTTCAGGCCCCTGGACTTAACCAAGCAGCCCAGGTTGGCCAATGGAAGCTTCCCAGGAACAGACACCCTTGGGGAGGTTGGGGCGTGGACGGTACGCCACCACCCACGCTGAGTGTCTGCTCTCTTGATAACTTTGCTGGGGCCTCGTGGGCTCTTTCTCACTTGATCTCGTTACAGCCCCTCAGGAAGGAGGGGTCTTACCTGCACTTTACCCAAAATAAAAGGGAGGGAGGGAGGAGCAGTGGCTAACTTGCTTAACGTCACACACGAGGAAGGGAAGCCAGGATTTACACTGAGGGGGATTCCAAATTCCCCGTCTTTCCTCTGTTCTAAAGGGAAAGGGGGTTGGCATGGGCGGCTGGGTTCTCCCTCCTGTGGGCCAGGCCCTGCTGTGGCTCAGAGCTTACATCTACACACCTGGAGGTTGCTTCACTGCCTCCCACCATCTCTCCCCCAGGACTGTTTCCCCTGTCACCACCCGGCGAGACACATGGCGGGGAGCCTCTCCCCAGCCTGCCACCACAGACTATGAGTCCTCTAACCATGTGGGCTGTTGCCAGTGCCATCCTCCCTCTCTGCTGGGTGGGCACATCCCCTGGCCCCTGCTGCCACCCACAGTCACCCCCCACCTAATCTGACGAGGGGCTGCCAGGCCCGGTTGCCACCACAATGGTCACCTACATGCAATGCTTCCCACATGTACATCTCCAGCACCAGCCCCCTCCAGCTCCACCCCATACACCCAACTGCCCACTGGGCACCTCTGCTCGGCTGTTCCAAAGGCTTTTTTTTGTTTGTTTGTTTTGAGATGGAGTCTCACTCTGTTGCCCAGGCTGAAGTGCAGTGGCGCGATCTCAGCTCACCGCAACCTCTGCCTCCCGGGTTCAAGTGATTCTCCTGCCTCAGCCTCCCAAGTAGCTGGGATTATAGGCGCATGCCACCATGCCAGGCTAATTTTTGTATTTTTAGAGATGGGGTTTCTCCATGTTGGCCGGGCTGGTCTTGAACTCCTGACCACAGGTGATCCGCCGGCCTCGGCCTCCCAAAGTGTTGGGATTACAGGCATGAGCCACCGTGCCTGGCCTCCAAAGGTTTCTTAGACTCAACATGCCCTAGACTGAATGCAAGATCTTCCCCAAACCAGAAGCCAGTCACTCACCAACTCCTCCTGCCCCTCCTCCAATGAGGACCCATCACGAAGGCTGGTAGATTTTGCCTCCTGAACATTTCTCAGATCCACACACCTGTCTGTCTTTACCGCCATCACCCTGGTCTTACCTGCTGTTCTTTCTCACTGGCCCAGTGTAAAAGCCCCCTGTCTACCCAGGTCCACCACCAATGTGGACCAGGGGGCCATAGAGCAACTAGGATGCCCCTGTGGCCACGCCACGTATCCCTGCACACCTCACCCCCACCCCAACCCCCACAGCGAACTCAACTCTTCCCACATCCTTGCCATGGACCTGCCAGCAAAGTCAGAAATGCATCCTGGGGCCGGGCACGGTGGTTCACGCCTGTAATCCCAGCACTTTGGGAAGCCGAGGGGGTGATCATTTGAGGTCAGGAGTTCGAGACCAGCCTGGCCAACATGGTGAAACCCCGGTCTCTACCAAAAAATACAAAAATTAGCTGGGTGTGGTGGCACGTGCCTGTAGTCCCAGCTACTTGAGAGGCTGAGGTGGGAGAATCACTTGAACCTGGGAGGTGGAGGTTGCAGTGAGCCAGGATTGTGCCATTTCACTCCAGCCTGAGCGACAGAGCGAGACTCAGCCTCCAAAAAAAAAAAAATGCATCCTGGGCTTTAAGCAAGGGGGCTTTGGAGAAAAAGACAAATAGAGACAGTCCCACCGCAGCAGGTTTTTAATGGGAAGAAATGCCCAGGAGGGACGTGAATGTCTCAGCAAAGAAACCCCAGGAGCCAATCTCAGATCCTCAGGAACAACAGAGTCACTGGAAAGAAGGAACGTGGCTGTGCAGGGACCTCTCTGATGAGCTCCGATTTTGAAGACATGCCCAGGAGAGGAAAGGAGATACCCTAACGGAGGATGAGTCCAGAAATGGGAAGCACATCTTATATGCAGAACGGGGCCCATGGGAAGCCTCCTAAAAACTTACAAGTAGCATTAGAAGGCTCTAAGTTTGGCTGTTGGCAACGGGCATCTCAAACCCCTTCCACAAGTGAGAAATTCACTGGTCTTTCACATAAAACCCTGCGCTCTAGTGGTCACGCTGCACCATGGGACTGTCCACGGCCCAGCCTCCTTCTCTCTGGATGCTCTGCCATCCTAGGGGCCACCTCCCTCTGCCAAGTCCCAGACAGAGAAAAAAGGAGGGGTGGACACAGCACTTTCTCTTAAGGATGCGACTCAAGTTGCACAAATCACCTCTGCTCGCCTCCGGTTGACCAGAACTCGGTCACATGGTCTAGCTGCAAGGCAGGCTGGGAAGCGCAGCCTCTAGCTGGTGGTCATGGGGTGTGAGAACCATTCTCTTCACAGGGGAGCGGGGGTGAATGGAACATAGGGGGCAGCCAGCAGCCTCTGCCAACGTATGGAATGTGAGGTCCAGAGAGGGTGTCTTGGCGAAGACAATGCAGCAGTTAACAGCCCATCCCTACCTGCCATGGAAGCCTGAAACTCCCCTCCCCATCCTGCAGCTGCTCCCCACAGCAGGTCTCTCTGCCCCACGTCCACAGTGGCCTCAACTCAGGGCCCTCATTTCTCTACTGAGCCTCTTTCCCCCAGTGCAGGAAGGCAGGATGAGGAGGGACAGAGAGAATGTGGCCCTCAGGGCCTCAGGAATCCATGTGGAGGTGCCAGGGCCAGAGGGGCTGAGTTCCTGGGGCAGAGCTGAGGCTGGAAAGGGCCCGCCAGAGCCCCAAGACCCAGGCCTCTGCTCACTGTCACCTCCTCTGGGACTTTGCAAACTCTGCCTTGAGCCCCCGCCCAAGGCCCATTATAGCCCCTCATCTGTAGGGTATTATTTCTTCACAGCAATCATGACCATGTGAAATGATTACTTCTCGTTTGTTTGCTGCTTATTCATCTTGCACTTCCTCTGAGATTGTGAGCCTCGAAGGAACAGGGGCCTTGTCTCCTGTCCCCTGCTGTGTCTCTTGCATCTGGAACTCTCCATGAGACCCTCGTTAAAGTCCTACTCAAGCAAGGGCCCAGGGCCCAGGCTTAGATCATCCTCATCCTCTCCCTCCCTCTCCTCCTGCCTAGCCTGGTCACACACCCACACCGGCAGGGTGGGGGCTGGTCAGTAGGAAGAAGGGGATTAAGAGCAAGGGCATTGTGAACTCGTGCGGGGGTGTGGGCAGGAGGCACACAAAGCCAGCCCCTCGTCTTCCCTAGAAATGGCACGTGCAGGAAGGGAAAAGGTTTCTTCCAAGGCTGAGAGGAAGTCCACAGGCTGCAAGAAAACCAGAAAAGTCCAGGAGCTTCTCTGACCTTGGAGAGTCAGGTCAAGGAGACCTCGCTCCCTTAGGGCAGCCCCACATGGCAAGTGAGAGCTTCCTCCAAAATACCGTGTATGGCTAAGAAGGGCCCCCCATTGTGTAATTCTTGTTCTCTCCCCCTCCCTCCCTTTGGACCTGCATTATCAGAAACTCAGGAAACACTGGAAAACTCCTACTTACCCCTGAGCCCCAGCCCAAATGCCCACTCCAGCCTCAGACCATCTGCCACTGTCATCCTTCCCCATTTTGGTTGGATCTCAGGGGCTTGGACGGAGCCTCCATCAGCCCCTGTTCAGGTGCAGGCATCCCATATCACAGCCAGCACTCCCCTGGGATTCCCTCTGGGAATCAGACCCTCTGGGGTAGCTTCAGACCCTCTGGGGTGATAGCACCTCCCACCCAGCTCTGGTCACCCGAGTCCCGATAGACCCACTCCCCTGTCTGGAGAGCAGGGCTGGTACCTGCTTGTTTAGGAACAGGCTCCTTCCCAGGAGGCACTCCTCCCGGCTCAGCAGGACCCCGTCCCGACTTTGGGGTTCCCTCCGGCAGCAGGCCTCCGGCACCTCTTCACTGTCCAGGGTCAGGAGTCGAAACACAGATGCAAACTTAAAGTCTTCAGGCCCGTTGACCCCGCAGCAACCGAACTAGGGGGAGATCCCAGAGAAGGGTCTGGTGGGCAGGAGCAGGACACGGGGCAGGGACAGAGAAGGACAGACAGCCTCTGCAAAGGAGTGGCATCAGAAGACTGGGCATGGGCTGGCTCCACCTGTCCCCACTGTGTGACCATGAGAAAGCCACTCAGCTTCTCTGGGCCTTCAATGTCCTCATCTCTATAACAGGGGTGGTAGTAACAATTCCTACCTCACCAGGCACTTAGCCCTCCATAAACAGTTGCTCTGGTTATTATCATCATCATAATGACCATTGCTTGGGGAGCCAAGACAGGGATAGCAAACAGGTTTCATCCCAAGTATGGGCTGTGATCAAGTGTGCCTGGAATGCTGCGTGGATGCTGATTCCCAGGCCAGGTCTGATTACTGATGCCTGGCGTGGGCACGTGAACACTGGGCATCGTGGCTCTGAACATTCACAGCCTCTCTGGGGGGTCGCTCACTGTGATCATGACTGAGTTCCAGGTGGCAGAGAAGACGTCCGTGTCGTTATTGCCCTGGTAGTGCTTGGTGAGCTCCTTGGTGAAGAATTCTCGGGTGAGCTGGGGGCAGAGGGAGAAGATGGGCTGAGGCCTGGCAGTTGGGTGCGGCCCCCACCCTCCCTTGTCTCTCCATCCACCTGCTTGGGAGTTGGGGGAATCAGAGCTAGGGGCTGTGCATCCTGGTACCAGGCCCCCTGGGATTCTAAACCACCAACTTGGGGCAGTCTCCTTGCCCCCAAGGTAGAAAGGAAGGCTATACACATGCACACCTCATGGAGCCGAGGTCAGGGCGCGCTGAGGACCTCGCTCTGCCTGCAGCTCTGCCCAGAGGGAGGGCGTATCTGGGCGGGGAGTTTGCCCCTCATCCCACCCCTTCCACCCTGAGCTATTCCACAGACAGAGCCAAGCAGACGCCCTGGGTCCCAGGCCCTGAAGAAGCTACAGCACCAGGCAAAGAAGTCTTTGTACATCCATTTCGAGAAGAGTCCGTCTCAGTTTCTCTCAAAACATTCTCCTTCCCTCCGGCAGCAGTGAAGGGTGAGGGCCCTGGGTGCTGCTTAGCAGAGGAGATCATCTGGGCACATGTGTCTGCCCACAGGCTGTGGTGGCCGCCTCCTCTGCTCCGTGCTGACCACCCTCCCGGCCTGCCTCCTCTACCCCAGGGCCATCTTGTGTCTCCTGTTCCATTGCCCCTCCTCCTCTCTCATCTTTCCCCCTCCCCCCGCCCCCGTCTCCCTTTGGCTATTGCCTGGCTCTTGTCAACTCAGGGGTGGCAGCTGGCAGGCTAGCTGCCTGTAGCCTCTGGAACTTGGTGGCCTGTGAGGCCAAGGTACCCAGGAGGATACCAGCCAGGACCTCCTCCGAGGGCAGTCTGCCCTGTGCTCCTACATTCCAGGGCTTGGGATAGCCTCTCTGACTATTCTTATGGGGTTGTACCAGATGCTTTGGGAGCAGAGAAAAGCCCTTGCAGGAACAGGCTTACTGGGGTCTCTCTCTGGCCTGGGGGGGCCTTGCCAGGCGGGTGGGGCCATGACTTGGGCTGGAAGTGCCAGATGAGAGGCTGCCCACTCTCTGAGACCCTTCAGTGAGGGGAGAAGCCAGACCTGAATGGCCACCAATCTCTTCCTAATAGCAGGAGGCAGGAAAGCTTGGGGCCTGGTACGTACATTTTCCCTGAAGATGAAGGCCAGGATGGCTGCTGAGAGCTCCGCCAGGAAGATGATCAGGATGAATAGGAAGAACTGCAGGGAGAGGAACAGGCTTGTGAGCCCAGAGGGCAGGCAGGGGATGGGGCGGCCACTGGCCAATGCAGTCGTCCACCTGTCATACCGGTGACGCAATACACTCATTTTATAAGATTAAGACACTCCACTGCTATCAGTCAGACATTTTTCATAACAAATACACCAGTGATGCCTCCTTGGAGTCAACAGGATTGTGATCAAAATATGAAAAGAATAAACAAATATATACATTCCATGCAAATGGTACCCTTACAGAGGCTCCTTGTACAGTGTGCAGCCTGAACAACCCTACTTAGCCGCCCTGGAAGGAGATCGCTGATGAAACCCGTTTGAGCCCATTCTGGGTAAATTTCCTTCTGTGTGGGTTGTACGGGCTATGAGAATCCTGAGTGCCTTGGGGATCTGCAGCTGGATTTCCCCACCTTGCCAGCCCCAGGGCCACCTCTCCCTGCCCCACTGCCTCTGGTTCCCATGGGAAGTGGGGAGGTCACATTAACCTTCAGCCAAAATCCAAGGAAAAAGATTGGAGGGAAGGTGGTATGACTACCAAATCTCAAAACCCAGGGGCCAGGAGTTGGCTATCTAACACAGGCTCCTGCTCCACTCACTGAATGTGATGTTCCCTGAATGAACCACAGTGCCTCTCATTTCGGCGACCTCGACAGGCTGTGTTACCTCGGCCAGGAAGGCACTGCCCTTCCTTGCCTACCAGTTCTGCATTTCTCCAGATCAGGTGAAGCCTCAGCCCCTCTCCTGGGCTCCCCCACACCACAGTGCCCAGTAGAGGTGCCCGCACGGCATTAGCACAGGAGCTGTCACTCGGTGCGCTGCCTGCTCGGATGTCTGGGTCAGCACAGGTGTTGACGCAGGACTCTTAGATGGATGAATGAGCCCAGGGTGAAGCACTCGCCTTCAATGAAGTCCCTGTGACCTGCCACATCACCCCCCCTGGTCATTGTGTGGGTTCCTTTGGGCTGAGAGCTGTCAACAGAAGAAACTGGCTTTGCCTTCATTACCCAGCATAGCTGGTGCCCTTGACAAAGTCCGTTGTCACCCTACCTGGAAACCACCAGCAGAGGACTTTATCCCTGGCACACACACAGACTGGTTCTTCCATGCCCTCCCAGGTACCTAGGCAGCGGCCAGACCTGCTCTCTGGGGTCCCAGTCATCAGGACTGCCTGCCTGTCCCTGACGTGCCAGGCTGCAAGGAGGCAAAGGGTGTTGGGCTTCAAGTCAGGACACCTCAGGGCCCGCCTTGTCTGTCCTCGCGTGTCATGGGACAATCACTCAAACAAACCCCTTCGAGCCTCAGTTTTCTTGCCAGAAAAATGGGGATGTGGAGACCCACTTCCGGGGTTTCCCTGTGGGGAATCAGGAGGAATCTGAAAGCGTTTCCTCTGTTGGAAATGAGCCCAAGCTGAGCTTGGCACTGGGCTCTCATGTGCAGAAGGGCAGCGAATGTGGGCCACGAGCAGGCTCCTCTGTGACCTCCTAGGCCCGGCTCCTGGTGAGGCACTGGCCTCCTCGCAGATGCTCTGTGGGCTGCTGACAATACCTTTAGGTGTCTCTCTCCCGGAATGTGCCTCTTGTGGTCAGAGGAAGATTTCTGTCACTTTATCCCCACCCCAGGGAGACCCCAGTCCAATTCCCTCCCTGACTCCAGTACCCACAGTGGCTGCCTTCTAGAGGACCTGAGGCTTCTCCAAACTGCATGGGCCGGGGACCACCTTAGTGAGAGCCTCGGGAGGGCTGTAGAATCTGTCCATTCCGCACACAGACATAAAACATCTCCGAGGCCTGGCAGGTGGGTTTTAGTTTTTGTAAATGTCCAAACCTAAGGAGAGCCCTTGCTTCAGCGGAGCAGCCAGCCTGTGGCGGGGATGTGTCACTCCTCCCTCCTGCATTGTGCTGGCTGGCCTCTGTCCCCAGCCACCACGTCAAGTCTGCTTCAGCCCTCAGATGCACCGTGGGCCCCTGAGCCCCTGAGGTCTCACTGGGCTCCAGCTGCTCCGACATAGGCTTCTGCTGTCACAGGGGACTGCCGGGCACCGGACGCTGTTCTCACGGTCTCTTTTCTATGTAGTTTCCCCCTGTTCGAAGTTGAGGAAGCTCAAGCTGGAGAAGGGAAATGACTACTCCACAGGTGCAGAGCTCTTCGGAGCTTTGCAGAGAGAATGCTTCCCTCCTGGCCCAGCTGCCTTTTCAGAGCGCCAGGCTGCGTCTGCTCCCTGATGCAGGGTGTGGCTCGGGCATTGCTCTGTCACTGTCTCTTCTGAGCCCAGGAGTCTGCCTCCACAGCTCAGTAGGGTCTGCTGGGTGGCCTGCCTGGCACATCTGGATGAGGGACACCAGGCCAGATGCTCGTGTGCTCCCTGAAGAGGGGGCTGACCTCCAGCTGAGGTCAGGGAGCAGAGTTCCCCAACCAGAGCAGAGTGTGATGAGGGCGGGGTGGGGGGAGCCCCTGTGCCCCAGGTCACAATGCCCATGGTCCATTCTGCCACTCCCACAATTCTCATTTCCAGGAGGAAATGAGAAATGTGTTTTCTGCCTCTGCAGCCTCACCTCCCCTGTGACAGTGACGGAGGCCGCTGGCAGGGATCCTGGCACTTCCATTTGACTGGTGATGGATGGCCATCCGCTTCCATTACACGGGGCCTCTATGAGGAGCCCCTCCCTGCCCTCTGTCCTCTCATTGGAGCTACTGGCAGATCCCCAGGCTGGCAAGGAGCAGCCTCGGAAATGGTTTCCATCCACGGCAATGAGCTGGAGCTGGCGTGCCCACCAGCCTCGGCCTGGACAGTGATAAATAATGGACGAAGCAGATCGCAAGCCTCTTGCACTCTGCGTGCCCGTCACTCTGGGACGTGTGTGTGCGGTTCAGGATGACTGCGCATGGCTTCCAGGAGGTAATGCAGGTGCAGTGCTTCTCGCAAGACTGGCATGACATGAGAGCTGCTCAGATGGTTACTTAGAGCCCAGAGGAAGCACACCCCTCCCGAAGACAAGTGCTGGTGTGGGCGGCTCTGGAAAAACAGCAACAGCTACTTGCTGAGTCCTTGCTACCCAGACACTGTGGATCTTACACGGATCATCTCATCAAGCCCTCTCATCTATTGAGACAGATGCTGTTATCAGCAACACCCCCATTTTACTGACAGGGGATTGTGGCTGAGAGGAGCAGTACTTGGCCCAAGCTGGCATAGCTGGTGGGTAGTACCTCTGGGACTTCACCCCAAGAACTCTGATTGCGGAACACAGCCTCTCATCACCATGTTACCCTGGAAGCTACGGGAGCCCCGAGGTCTTATGGTTTCCACACGGCCTGCAAAGCCTCCTGAGGCTCAGCACCAATGCTTCTAGTTTCCCATTTATAGAGTGCTTAGGCATCCCACAAAGAGAGCCAAGCAAAACATGCATTTCCCACTGGTTCATGAACGCAACACTACCACTGGGAAGGAAGTATGATTATCCTCATTTTATATATGAGGAATCTAAGGTTCAGAGTGGTTAAGTGAGCAGCCCCAGGTCATACAGCCAGGAAATGGCAGAGCAGGAGTTAGAGCCTCGGCTTTTCTGACTCCAAAGTCTATGCACTTAGCCAAACCTCTGATACCACGTCCTCTCTGTTCCTTGGCTCCAGAGCTGTTTATTAAGCACCTGCTCCGTGCCAGGCACTGTGCTAGGTATTGGCAAATAAATGCATACAAGGCAGACTCAGTTCCCATCTTCATGGAGTTTCCATTGAGCTGAAGCATCAGGAGATGAGATATAAAAATAAACCTGGGAAGCCGTGGACTGGAGGAAGTGGGCCTTCCCAGGCACAGGGCCTGGGCGTGACTTGAGTATGTGGGAGTGTGAATCAAAGTGCAAGGCCACGGTGCCCACGGCAGTCACAATGCCACTTCTGCCAACTCGCCCTTCTCCAGCATGAAAATGTCCTCCTGCTTAAGACTATTTACCAGTGTTAAAGTCCTTTGGGGAATTCCCCTGGACCCAGACATTCTTGGGGCTTCCCCTCAACAAGGCCTTTCCCAGGGTTTGCATCCCATTTGCCTAAGGACACAATTGTCAGCCATTCCTGATCCTCTGATTTGCATCACTTTCCCTAGGATGGAAAAATTAGCAAAGGGGAGGAAACTGCTATGTTGCCTAGTTGGGAATATTTCCAGGCTTTTCTAACCCATCTGCTTATAGGCAATGTCTGCTCACAGTTCCCCTGTCTAATAAATATTTACCAAATTTACATACCGCATGTACAATTCAGCTCATTTATCTTTTCTGAATATACTCATCTCTTTTTGCTGTTCTTTTTTCCAGTTGAGCTTGCCTTCATTGTAAAATACTTTTAAAATTAGAATTTTTAGATAAGTTGGCTTAAAAAATCCTTGAAATACTCAAAGGTGAGCAAATGGGAAAAAGGGATGCCACACATTTTCAATAGGAGGCTGAAACTGTCTTATTGCATGTGAGTGCTATCATACTGATCAATGCAAGTATTTGGGAAATGGATCTTTAGATAGATAAATTGATCACAGAGTGGTTTGGTCATTAGTCTGATTGTCCCCAGGTCCTGTGGGACTTCAGTTTCAGAGCAGAGGGAAGGGGATCCTCAGCCCCATCTCAAGGCTTCCTTGCTTTGCGAACCTTTGAGCCAGGTTTCCTGGACTGACTAAAGTCACTCTTTTGGCCCCTCTCAAGACAAGCCTTTTCTCCTTTCCAACAGGCTGGGAAGGCAGTGAAAGGCTTCTAGAAGGATCCCAGAAGCTGCCAGGGGTGAGGCTCCATGCCCTCTTCCGTTGGAACCACCACACAGTTAGGTCCAGGTTCAGCCAGGAAGGGAGAAGTGGTTTTTTTTTTATTTTTTAGGGCATAAACCTTTTTGAAAACCTTCCAGAAATTTTGGTGCTTTTCTCTGGAAATACAGAACCCCCCAACCCCCATGCAGGCAACACACATGGACACACAACACACATGTGCACACACAGGCACATGTCCACACACATACATATGTGCACCCATGCACGCACGACACCCACGCACGCATGACACCCACGCACATGTAACACCCATGCATGCCTAACACCCATGCACATACAACACCCATGCACAAAGCAATGCACACATGTAAACACAAGCACACACAATAGAACACAACATACATGCACATACAACACACATGCAAATACACATGAGTATGCACACAATCCACGTATATACAACACACATAAACAGGCCCTGCCATAACATTTTGCATATAATTTTAGGTAAATTTTGGAGTCCATTCCAGGTTAGGAGCCTGTGGATGGCCCTGGTCTGGGAGCCAGAAGACCTTGATCCAAGCGTCCTCTGCCTCTGACCCACACTGTGACCTCAGGCTTGTATGGGTGGGGCCTTAGAGAGGGGAGGGCAAGCAGAGGAAGTGGAGAGAGACAGGGTAACGGGGAAGGGAGAGATCAGGACAGGGACAAGGAAAGGGCGTAGGAATAAAAACAGAGATCAAGAGAAGGACAAGGCCAAGTGTGTTGGTGCCCGCCTTGAATGCCAACACTTTGGGAGGCCGAGCGGTGGATCTCTTGAGCCCAGGAGTTCAAAACCAGCCTGAGCAACATGGCAAAACCTTGTCTCTACAAAAAAATACAAAAATTAGCTGGGTGTGGCGGTATGTGCCTGTGGTCCCAGCTACTCAGGGGGCTGAGGTGGGAGGATCGCTTGAGGCTAGGAGGTTGAGGCTGCAGTGAGCCGAGATCACACGGCTGCACACCAGCTTGGGCCACAGACTGAGACCCTGTCAAAAAATAAAAAAGGACAGAGATGGGAAGGACAGAGGCAGAGAGGAAAGAAACGGAGCTGCACAGAGATAGGCAGAAGGAAGGGGGACTAAAGGGAGAGAGACGGGGTTGGGAGGGGAGGGGAAGGGTCTGCCATCAGGCCTTGTCAAAGGGCCCCCAGCCTGACAGCCAGGATCAGCTCTCTTGGGAGGATCGTGGACACATTTCCTATCCCTGGGTCTCAGTCCTGCCTCCCATAGCATGGGAGGGAGGACAGCCTCGGGTGGCTGGCAGGTTTGCAGGCAGCCACTTACTGGAGGAGACTGGAGCCGCCCCAGCCTGGTCCCAGCCAAGAACACCAGCCTGGCTTCCTGTCTTGGCTTCAGAGCCGAACCCATTAACAATGAATGAGCCCCTGGGGGCCGAGGTGAGGAGGGGGAAAGGGAGGCTGGGTGTGTCCTGGGACCCATATCCCAGCTCCTTTTAAAGTCCGCTCGGGCTCCCCAGCCAAGACTTCTGCAAGCACCGTGACAAGCAGTAGAGAACTGTCCACCAGGGGGCGCTCACAGTTTTTCTTTGTTTCGCTTCAAATGAAGTCTGTGGTGGTTGTGCTGTTGTAGGACACATGGGCCCAAAGCTCCCTGTCACTCATTTGGCAGCTGACTTCACTTCCTTTGGATGGGGGGCATCTCACCGGGACATGAATGGGGCCGTGCAGTGTGCTGTCATCTGGGGAGGAGGTATGGTGCTAGGTCTCTCCTCCCAGCTGGTGCTGGTGCTGGCTTATCCACAGAATTTTGCAAGGGAGCCCTCCAGCCAACCAGCCCAGGTCTCCCTGTCATTTAACTCTGCCCACGAATTTTCACACGAGGAGCATCCACAAGTTGACCCAGCCACATCCACACTTCTCTAAACAGGGCTGTTTTTAACTTACCCTGTAGCAGGACTGGGCTCAGCCCAGAAGTTCTCCAAGTCCAGGACTTCTTAGAGGAGAGAAGACCTACCCGCTGAGCACAGGAAAGCAGGTGGAGACCCCAAGCACCACCGCCCATGGGAATCCAGGAGACCAGAGAACTAGAGACGCACTGCCTGTCTGGTTTGGCTGTGATCTATAGCTGAGCTGGCCTGCCCATCATTTAACAAGAAGACTCGGCTGCTCTCTGGGAGGTCAGGGAACTAGACGGGAGCCGCACCCTTAGGGGATGGAGCAGGGAGTACACTCAAATCAGGCCTGCCCGCTGCCCAGCTCATCCGCACAGCTCGGCTGCCTCCCCTGTGCCTGTCTGTGAGGGAAGGGACCGTCGCTCCTGGTCCCCAACGCATCTTCAGCACCCAGTGAACTACATGCGCATGACAGGAGTTCAAGGGCTATTTACTTGATGACTAAGAAACCTTCAGAGGCCATATCACACCTACTTCAGAATTGGATATCTACAAGGGGAAGGCCTCATCCACTAGCCATCTTAGCGATGTTACTAAGGAATTATATATTAGAGTTTTTAATAGCAAGCAAGTGGAAAAACATCAAGGTCAATGTCAGTGCTCTCAGTTGACCACGCCTTGGAGACGCCTGGTTGTTCAGACCTGGACGCAAGGCTTCCTCCACCTGGGCCAGCTCACCTACTGCAGGCGTGGGCCTGGTAAAAAAGCAGACTCTGGAAGCTGGCGCCACCAAGGCAAATGGAAAAGGCTGGGGACCATCCCACCCCTGGAGGTGGGCCTATGTGGCACAAACCTCATTCTGAGTTTCCTGGCATGTGGATACAGACTAGGTGTGCGTTAAGCCAAGGGCCCTGGCTTGTCTGCAGGAAAGCAACAAAGTGAAGTGGGAAAGAGGAAGGGCTGCCCCGGGGAAAAAAACAGGTCCCAAAGGCATGGGAAGAGGCAGCCTGAAGCACTACAAGGGCCCTGGCCTAGCGTCTGTGTCATCCCCTCTGCCGCCAACTCCATGGGACTCTGGGCAAGTCGCTGAGCATCTCACGGTTTCAGGACTATTGACGACCGAATGAGTGCGGTCAGACGTGCTCATCTCCACGATCCCTTCTTTGACAGCCCGCCCCCAGTTTGGGAAGCACTGGTCTGAATGGAAGCCAGGCAGGGCCTGGGAGTCTGCAGCCGATCCCCGACACCCCTCAGAGCACCCATGGGTGGGGTGGGGGCTGGGGTACTCACAAATAGCAGCAGACACTTGTTCTCACGGACGGCCCCGCAGCAGCCCAGGAAGCCGAGCAGAAAGAGCAGGCCCCCCATGGCCAGGAGGATGTAGGCGCCCGTGAGGAGCAGAGGATTGGCAGCCACGATCTCCCGGAAGCCGGTGGGGTCCACCATGACCCAGATGCCGATGGCCAGCAGGCAGGCCCCGCCCAGCTGCTCGGGCCGGTGGAGGAGTTGGGAGGAGAAATAGGCAGAAAGGGAGGTTAGGCACTTCTGACCCACCACTCCCCTGAGCCGGCCCCAGGGTCGGAGGCATCAAGCACTAGGTGAGCCAGGCAGGAATTCATCTGCAGCGAGAGCCAGTGAGTCCCAGCGGCACCTTGAATTGCTTGGAATTTTTCTAGCTGCCGTGACCTTAAGTGCAACACGCATCCTCTAAATCCAATTTCTGACCCAGGCCCTACCTGGGGCTGCTGAGAAATGTATCATATACAGGCTATTTGCCAATTTTATCTTCTCCTGAAATGTCAAGACCTGTAGGATTAGGAGGTCATCTAGTCCAACCCTCTGATTTCACACAGAGGGGGCCACCAACTTGCTGAAGGTCACACAGCAAGTTCATGGCAGAGTCAGAGATGCCTTCTGGTCGCAGACCCCCTGACTGCAGCCTCAACACCCTAAACAAAGGTCCATGAACATGCTCTGAGTGAGCCCTATGCTGTGTTTGCACCACCCCATGCTAGGGGCTGGGAAAACACCAACCAAGTCATGGTCATTGTGCCCCACAGGACTCTCAGTGAGGTTTCAACCTGAGAGTGGGCTCCCCTCTCTCAAATCCATGGCTCAAAAGCCTTCTTATTTATGTCTCCATCAACCTGGGCTCTCCGTGCCTTATTTATCTTTGGAAAGAGGTAGCATAGTCTAGAGAGAGAGCTGTGCCACTTATTAGCTGTGTGACCTTAGGCAAGTGTCATAACCTATCTGAGCCTTTTAGCTTCCTTGTGGTCAAAAGAAGACTCAAACACCCACCACCTAAGGCAGCACTAAGGAAGAAAGGATAGAAGGCGTTTAGCAGATTTCAATAAATATCTGTTCCATTTTTCTTTACTTTTTCTGTTTTGAGACAGAGTCTTGCTCTGCTACCTAGGCTGGAGTGCAGTGGCCGGATCACAGCTCACTGCAGCCTTGACCTCCTGGGCCTGAGTCATCCTCCCACCTCAGCCTCCCAAGTCACTGGGACTACAGGTACGTGCCACCAGGCCTGGTTAATTTTTGTATTTTTCTGTAAAGATTGAGTTTCGCCATGTTGCCCAGGCTGGGCTCGAACTCCTGGGCTCAAGTGATCCTCCTGCCTCAGCCTCCCGAACTGTTGGGATTACAGGAGTGAGCCACTGTGCCCAGCCTATTCCATTTTTCTTGGGCACAGATACGTTTTAGAAGCAGACCTGTTGTGGGAAGAACCAAAGTTTGGTACCATGGGATTTGCAGGCTGTAAAGTATTTGAAATCCCTTTGTGTGGTGGGAGGACCGGAGGCCCAAGAGGCCTGTGTGAGGGTTGACAGCTGGGTGACAGGAAAACTGCTGGGCTTTGGCTTGGCTGAGCAGGACTGCAAGCTGAAGACAGCTGATGGCTTTGGGCGAGGGGCGTTTGTAGGTACCCTTAGGGCAGCAGTCCAGTGGAGACGCCTGAAGGACTCAGCAGGGGAAAGAGAAGGAAAGACCTAACAGGCATGGCCAGCGACAGGGTTTCCATTTTCGCCATCTGCTGTGCAGTGTCTCTCTCCTTTTTTTTTTTTTTTTTTTTTTTTTCTGAAACAGAGTCTCACTCTGTCACCTAGGCTGGAGTACAGTGGCATGATCTCAGCTAACCGCAAACTCCGCCTCCCGTGTACAAACGATTCTTCTGCCTCAGCCTCCCAAGCAGCTGGGATTACAGGTACCCGCCACCACGCATGGCTAATTTTTGTATTTTTAGTAGAGACGGGGTTTCACCATGTTGGCCAGGCTGGTCTCGAACTCTTGACCTCAGGTGATCCACTCGCCTCTGCCTCCCAAAGTGCTGGGATTACAGACGTGAGCCACTGTGCCCAGCCTGTGCCTCTCTCGTTGGTCTCCCACACGACCTCCAGGAAAATCTGTGTCTTCTTATTGTTGCCGGAGATTTGGGGATTCAGCAACTGTATGCTAAACACTTCAAGGAGGGCCCAGCTCCATTTCAGGTGGGAACGCTGGGGCTGGAGGAAGGATGAGCTGGCCCAGGGTCACCCGGCTTGGAAGATGGTGACCTTGGGTCTAGAATTCAAGTCTGCAAGGCTTGAGGCTTTTTAGGATGGTGAGGTAGGGAAGAGAAACTAAGAGAGTTGCTGAAATGTATATTTTTTAAAAAGACACAAAGATATATAGAGAGAGATAGAGAGGGAAAGATAGACGCTGAGAGAGAGACAGATGGTCAGCCCTGGCCAGAGAGGGGACCCCTCTTTCAAGAGCCTGCCCTGAAGGACATGAGTGGAGGTTTATTCACCCAGGTCTTGGTTGTACTAAGATCAAAGGCTGAGAGGGCTGGACCAGGAAAGCCTGTGGGGGTCCAAGAAGCCAGGGCCACAGCTCTACTCCTGGGAGGGGCCGTGAGTCTGAGCAGAGCCTTCGGTGGGCCACCAGCAGGTGGGTGGGTCACCTGAATGTCCGGGCCTCTGTCCCTTCATATACAGAATCCATAGGTTGGATGGAAATGGAGCTAAGCTATTGAGGACTGACCACATCCAGGGTACTTTGTAAACTAAGCTTGCTTAATTTTCAAAAAGCCTGTTGAGGAAGGTCATTAAGAGATGAAGATATTGAGGTTCAGAGAGGTGAAATGTGTCTCAAATCACAAGCTGCTAAGATGCAGCAGTGGAATTTGAATGCAGGTCTTCCAGTCCCAGAGAGGTTTCTGATTATATCTGGTGGCTACATGGACTCGGCCCCTCCGGCTCTGAAGTCCATCAACTGCTCAGGGAGATAAGGTTGGGTGGGGCTCCCTCTTGTTGCCCCCTGATCACTCCCAACCCTTCCTTTCCCACTCCCCACGAGGGGTCAGATCCCAAGACAGTGGCCGGACTGAGGTCCCCTCCACCTTTTTGAGAGGGGCTGACCCACCCCAGGGCCTGTGTAAAATGTTTCTCCTAAGAAGGTAGGCTCTTCAGAGTGCGGTGGGCACTGCTGGGGGCCCCCTTCCATGAAAGCCTGGCTGGCAGGTACCCCTGCCTCTAGCACCGGCCCCTGTGCTCACCCCAGGGACTCAGCCCAGTGTGACTATTTCAAAGCAGCAGCCAGTTCTGCCCACCCAGCAGAGGCCTGGGAAGACCCAGGATACTTACAAAGATGAAGAAATTGAAAACAAACATCAGGTACTTCATGCAGCTCAAACAATCGCCTTCCATGGTGCTCCACCTAAAAACACAAGGCCACCTCAGTCCTCCCGATGGGGGACCCCACCCAGGAAGAACCCCAGCCCCTCCCCAGGGGGTCCCCACAGCCAGCCCCACCCATGCAAAGGCTGGAAGAAGATGGAGGCCGATCATAGAGATGAGAATGCTGGAGCCAGACTGCCGGGTTTCAGCCCTGGCTCCAGCTTTCATTTGCTGTGTGACCTTGGGCAAATTACTCCACCTCTCTGGATCTTGCTCTCTCCAACTTTAAAGCGGAGATTAAGAACAGAACCTTCCTCCTAGCAGTGTTGTGAAGATGAACTGAAATCCCACAGTAACATGCTTAGCACATCGTCGGGCATGTGGTAAGTGCCCAGCAGTCCCGCTTCACGCTGTTGCTCTACTGCAGGTGTGAGCTGGCCATTTCACAGAAGAGAAAACCAAGGTCCAGAGCCTGGAGGGACTTGCCAAGGTCCCATAGCCAGGACCGGAAGCCAGGCCTGACAAACTTCCCACCATCCCACATACCCTCCAGCCACAGAACAGACCAGGGCGGCTGCTTGGTGCCAGTGAGACAGGGTGCTGCAGGGAAAAGGAGAGCAGCCTACCTGGGGGTCTAAAACCTGCTTCTGGGGCCAAAGCCTTCCTGAGCCTTGGCTACGTCTACTCTGAGACCTCCAGCATCCCACCTCCCCGGGAGCCTTTCCTGTCTTCACCTAAAAGTATACCCGTGGCAGCAAAGTCACTGAACACAATTCCATTCAGCCAGCATTGATTGAGCATCTGCTGCTTGCCAGGCACAGCCGGGGCTGCACTGAGATGCAAACGTCCCCCATCCCCCAGGGGAAGGGGAAGCTGACAGCATCTGCTCCCATGAGTCAGACTTCAAGGTGCACAAGACATGTTTACATTCCATATTCGTTATTTTCACATTTTCTTCATAACGGCTCTGAGGAGAGACTCAGGGCAGGGATTAGAGATCCACGCGACAGGTGGGGAAACCGAGACTCAGAATGAAAACGACATGTCCAATGTCCCGCAGCTAGTAAGGGGCAGGGCCAGCACTCAAGCCAGTCCTGAGCTGCCGGCACTGCAGGTGCTTCCAGCAGGAGTGTCCGTACCTCCATGACAGGACTCGGTGCAAAGGGTTCTGGGAGTATGTGTCGGGGTGTGGATGGATGTCGGGGAGATGGTATCTGATTACTTTCTACAGCTCCCGCTTCCTCCCACAGGACATGGCTGGACTCCATCTTCTTCCTCCACAAAATAAGGTTGCTAAGTCTGACTCAAAGGGTTTCTGGGAGGCTTATTATTAATATTAATAATAGTAAAACGTGTATCAAAACATCACATTGGACTCCGTAAACATATACAATTATTATTTGTCAATTTAAAATGAATTTGGGAAAACAGTAATAATTGTAGCCACTGTTTGGGGATCCAACACTGTGCCTAGCGCTTTGCACGTATTATCTCGTTTAATCCTTGTGACCACCAAGGAGGTATGTACTCTGATGACACATGCTTCCATCAGCCCAGCCCTCAGAAGGGTTAAGGGATTTGTCCAAGGCCACACAGCTTGTAGGAAGCAGTGACAAGACCCATGGCACATAATGGGTCTCAGCAACTCTGTCCCCTCCCCACCCCAAACCACAATCCAACACTCTCCTCAGCAGCCAGACTAGCACCCTTATATCATAAGGAACAGATGGAGCAGAGCGGTGCCTGCCTCTCATCTTACCTGCCTGGCCACTCCACCCCTCTCCTAATCGGTGATGACAGCACCACCCCAGGCTGTGTTTTGGTCTGAGCTAGAGGTGTTTGTTTGTTTGTTTGTTTGTTTGTTTTTAAGTGCATTTGAATCCATGGAGAGAGGAGCACAGACAGAGCCAGCTGGTAGGGAGTGGACACAGGAAAGGTTCCTGGTCTCAGGGGTGGTGCCTCGCATCCCTCCTCTCATTGTTTCTGCCAAGGTGTCAGGTGTCTGTCCACCAGCTGAGCTTGGCCAGGCAGACATAGCTAAGGCGCCTGGAGCCCATGAGGAAGGTCTGACAGGCACATGGGCTTTGGATTTGGCACTGGCCCTGGGGCCGGAGGGCTTTCTTCCCTAAAGGGACACCTCCTCCTTGTTGCTCTGCTGATCCTTAATGCAACTTGGAAAAATGCTGAGCAGGGGAGGCACAAGTGGGGCCACTCAGCATCAAAGCCAGGAAGGGAAGACACTCAGAGCCCACCTGGGACATCCTCCTTCTTATTTTACTAGGAGTGGGAAACTGAGGCACCAAGTTACCTGGTGAGGAACGCAAGGGAAAATCATGGGGTGAACCTGACCCAGGGACTCCAGGCTCCAAGCTTTTGTCCTTCTAACAGCGCCCCAAGGGTTTCTCTTAAATTGTGTTGGGGGAAGGGGAAATCAGGGTTTTCCTGAGGTCATCCACCCAAGTCTCCACCCCTACAAATAATACTATTTATTGAGCATTTACTATGTGCCGGCTCCGTCCTAATACTTTACATTTACTAACTCACAACAGCCCATGAGATTAGTACTCTTATTATTTTCCAGAGGTGGAAACTGAGACAGACAGAGGCGAGGTGACTTGTCTGAGGTCATAGCTAGTGAGCGGTGAAGCCAAGATTGGAACCCAGGCAGTCCAGCTTGGAAGGACAAAGGACGGTGTGTGTGTGATGGCAGGATGGGGGATTTGTCTTTACTTCAGTGAGCGTGGCCTGAATTCATGACATGCCATCTGCCTTCGGAGGTAAAATCGGATGACACCATCCTCTCTATCACAGGGGTCTCTGAAACATCTCCAGCCTCAGCCCTGCTCCTAGCTTTCTCTCTCATCCAGACATGGCTGCAGCCTCTGGGCTGGGACTGGCCTCCCTACCTCCCCTTCAATCCAGTGCTTCCCTGCTGCCAGAAGGACCCTTCCACAAAGTACATGTCACCACAGCCTTCTCTTGCTGGAACCCAACCTCTATAGGAGACCAAGCTGCCTCCTGCAGACCACAGGACCTCCAAGACTCCCCATGGCCACCTCTTGTTATTTCTGCCCTGACTTTCCTATCACCACCATCAAAGGAGAGTCCCCCAGAGGTATCTCCCTGAGGCTTACTTGGTGCCTCTGCTCATGCTGATCCCTTCTGTTTGGATTGCCTTTCCACCTACGCCAGTCCCACTTAATTCCTATTCATCCTTTAACACTCGTCACAGGCATCACCTCCTCCAGGAAGCCTTCCCTGATTCCCCCCTCCTGTCCCCATCGAGCCAAGTTCAGTGCCTTCCCCTAATATAATATCCCACGGCCTCTGCTGACATCCATCACTGCCCCCACCAAAATATATACCATAACATCATCAGCCAGCGTTCCTGGTGAATCTCAGAGGAGCAGAATTGTGGCTGTGCGCTCCTGGGACACAGTAGGGTTGCACATGGTTTGGACTAAGTAAAACCCCTCCACACAGAGAGTGTTAATTCAGCAGGGTGTGTAGGAAGCCTGGTGCTGGGCTCAGGCATGCTTCCAGTCATTTGTATCCTCCTCGCCTGCAACAGCTGGAAAGTGGAGCAATAAGGATTCAAACCCACAGCCGTGCTCTCCCTGTGCTCCCTCTCCTTTCTCTGTTGTACCCTCTCCTGGGTGAGGACAGCCCAGGACAGGGCCCTCCTAATGCCCTGCTTGCTCACCCTTCTCTCCAGATCTTCCTGAGGCCTGAAAGCCTAGAGCTGCCAGGGATGGGAGGCACCAGGACAACCTATCCCTTCCCTTTCTCCAGGCCCTGCCCTCCCAGAGGGCAGTGGGCAGGGCTGAGATTCAGTGGGGACCCATAGGGATCGCTGTCCTGCTGTCTGGCCAGCATGTCTTCGGTTGGTTCATGCCAGTGCATAGCGGTTGTTAAGCATCTCAACCACCATCCCTGACTGTGGGGCCTTTGGCTTTTCCTTCCTCACCAAGCCCAGGCTCTCTTCCTGCAGAATGGTCCTCCAGGATACCAATTCCAGGCCAGCTTGCCAACCACATCCCTGATTTCTAGAAGGAACATCTAACCTGCATCTAATCAGCATGGTCCTAAGCATGGGCTCTGAAGTCAGACACACCTGGGTTCGAATCCCAGCCCATCACCTTTTCTACCTCTGCGTCTTTGGGCAAGTGACTTAGCCTGTTGGAACCTCAGTTTCTTCACCTATGAAAATGTCCAATGTAAAGGGCTCCCCGCCGTACCTGTACAGAGCAGGGTGGACAGCTCTTACCACGTCCACACCTAACTGCCTTCATAGGTTACTCACAGGCCTGCTGTTAGATTAGAAACCCAGGACAATGCCTCACACCCCAGAGCCTTTCTATTCTGACCCATCTCTCTTTTCAGCTCTTGGCTGATTTCAGCTCCATGCATCTTCAGACATCTGTGCCCTTTGGAAAGGGAAAAGAGGATAGGAAAGAACATTTATTGAACACTGACTCATGGCTAGTCACGTGCCAGCTCCACAGAACTGACTGCCTTTAATCTCTCCACAAGCCCCTAAAGCAGGATGTACTATGCCCATTTTACAGATGACACTGAGGCTCAGAGAGGTCAAGTAAAGTGCCCAGTATCACACAGCTTGTATGCACGGACTGGGCTACAAAACCACCACTCACCCAACTCCAGATCCTGTGTCTCTACCTGATCCAGGAGCAGATGTTCAAGCAGAGAATTGGACACAAGGAGCACTGGCCTAGGAGTCTGGAGCCCAGCCTCCTGCTCTGTAAGTCACTGCTGTGTGACCTTGGGCAAATCACTTTCTCTCTCTGGCCTCAGGGTCTTCATGTGTCAAATGGCAGAGCAGGAATCTGATGCCCTGACCATTTCCTCTATCAGGTCCTAACTCTGATGAACGGGCCTTTGGAGGCAGAGCAGCCACAACAGTGACAGGCTGAGTACTCCTGTGTGGGAGGCCAGGCTCTGCCATCCCTCCCTCTGCCCACCCAGGCAGAGCTTCTCTCCAGGGTAGGATCCAGCTTCAGCTGGCTCTGGCTTTTTAGC